AAAATCTAATCAACCGTTGCCAACCCAAATTATGTGCCTTCTAAGTAGTTGCAGTATATATCAACTAAGGATACAAAAATTCAAGTAGTTCAGAATAAGATAACATGCATAATGAAATTTACTGTTGATTCTTAATATAAATTTAAAACCTAAACAAAGTGACAGTGAAAGGTCTGAACAAACAAATAAAGATCAAGGAACCTGGAAGGGTAAGCTCACAGCCATACCAATCAAATTACAACCTTTCTGGCGCAGATCATTGAACTTTTCCTGCAAAAATCATTGGAATCAATTGGTAAACTTCAAATTCTTACAAATAAACAGCCAATATCTACCAGTACTAATACAACATGCATATACATGATCTCGAGAGGAGATAATGTGGTAATCATCAGGTCCATTCCGGGAAGGATCACAACACAGGAAGATCTCAGCTCCATTATCTTTCAAAACGTCGTGAAGCGAAGCGAATATCTCAGGCGGCACTAAATTCCTAGACATGAACACATTCGCTCCCTTGAACGTCGTCTTCCTCATCATCTACTCAAACTTTTCTCCGCCTACTAAATAGCAGAGAAAAATATATTATTAGTCAACAAAATTGAATTAAACAGGATCAAGTTACCGTAATCCAGCAAAGTAGCTAGCTTCATATAGCATCGAAGCTTAATTTGAAATACACAAATTGCTACAGGTAATTAGTTACGTGAATCAAGTAGGTAATTATAACGAACCTCTTGGATCTAATTCGAAATCTGTGAAAAAATCGCCAGAAGATAGTGGGTGGATTGGGTGATGTGCTTTTCCTTTGAGTCGTAGGCGGGAAAAGGGTTTTCTTTGCTCGGAAAGAAATAATGAGGTTTTCGTTTTTAGGGGCCAAAATTTTCAAACCCTATAAAAACAAACTTTAACCGCGATATAATTCAGTTTTTGCTGTCTTTTATTCCGATATAATTATCATTTATTTATTTATTACTTTTTTAAACTGAGAAGTATAAATATAATATGATTTATCAAGGTAATTAACTTTTTGGTATGTTGGTAACTATTTTTTTTGTACATATGTAGGTAATAAACTTTTTGGGAGTGTTCACATATGACCATTATGACCTGCTATAACAGGTTAAATCCTAAATGTGAACGCTCTCAGCAAGTTTGTTACCTAGATGTGTAAAAAAAATAGTTACCTAAATATGAACAAAACGAAAAGTAAAAATTAAATTACATGAATGGTCCCTGTAGTTTGGGAGAATTTGTGGTTTTGATCTCTAAGTTATTTTTTTAAACTTAAATGGTTCATATTGTTTATTTTTGTTGCGCGTTTGGTCCCCATCTTATCTAAAAATACTATTGTGCCCTTATTAATTTATTTTTTTAATTAATTTTCTTATATATGTTTATTTTTTACATATTTATAAAAAAATAATATACCACACATATTTGTATCTCCTCGGATGATCCCTACTATTTATTTTTTAATTAATTTAATTTTTTAACTCGGATGGTCCCTACTATTTAATTTTGTTACGAACTTGGTCTCTGTCTTACCTAAAAAGACTATTGTGCCCTTATTATTTTTTTTTAATTAATTTTCTTGTTTATGTACTTATGTTTTATATGTTTAAGAAAAATTAGCAGACCTCACATATCTGTATCTCCTCACCATCTCATCTTTCATCATTCTCAACTTCTATTTATTTTTCATCTTTAGTGATATCGACGTCTTCATCATCACTTCTTTTTTCGGTCCTTCAACTCCATCGAAACAACACCACAACCTACTGAATATGAAGAGACGGTATGTTATGGTGTTGGTTCGCCAGAGTTGAAGTACCAAAAAAAGGACGGTGAAGACGTTGATGTTACTAAAGATGGAAAAGAAATAGAAGATGAGGAGGATCAGAGATGAGATGGTGAATGGTAAGACTCAAATTAAATTTCTCAAATGTGGTTTCAGGTTTACGGTGATAAGATACATATATGTGGGGTATATTAATTTTTTTATAAAAAATAAATACATAAATAAGAAAATTAATTTAAAAATTAATAAGGGCAAAATAGTATTTTTAGATAAGACAGAGACCAAACGCGTAACAAAAATAAACAGTAAGGATCATCCGAGTTAAAAAAAAATTAATTAAAAATAAATAATAGAGATCATCCGAGGAGATACAAATATGTGTGGTCTATTAATTTTTTTAAATATGTATAAAATAAATACACACATAAGAAAATTAATTAAAAAAATAAATTAATAAGGGCACAATAGTAAATTTAGGTAAGATGGGGACCAAACGCGTAACAAAAATAAATAGTAGGGACCATTTAAGTTAAAAAAAATAAATTAGGGATCAAAACCACAAATTCCCCCAAACCACAGGGACCATTCATGTAATTTAATTTTTAATTTTCATTTTGTTCATATTTAGGTAACTATTTTTTTTGTACACATCTAGATAACAAACTTGTTGAAAGCGTTCACATATAGGATTTAACCTGCTATAGCAGGTCATAATGATCATATGTGAACACTTCCAAAAAGTTTGTTACCTACATATGTAAAAAAAAAAGATAGTTACCCAGATGTGAACATACCGAAAAGTTAATTACATTGATAAGTCATATTATCATATATAAACTACTTTTAAACTAAAACTTAATTTTAATTATGTCAATGATGAGATGATACCATTGGGTTGGAATCTCTTTAGTATTTATTTCTTTTTAAATTTTCAATATGAAAACATTACTTTTATAATGAAAATTTATTGCTCGAACTTGTCCTATAAAATGAAATTAAACAATATAATGTATAATGAATAATGTTAGCCTCTCGGATGTCCAAAACTTTCATTACATATCTAACAAAAAAAATGTTAATATTTCTTTTTATTTATACAGGGTCATGTTTTCCACGTTAAGTATTTCATAATTTCTACAAATGTTTTTTTTTTATTTTAAACAAAAAACATACAAAATGGGTCTAGGACTTAACCCATAAGATGATGTGGCAACTAAATCACCGGTGGAACACTATTTCCCGATGGAAGTAAGTAAGTAGTGGTATGAGGAACTTGAAAGTTTAAAAAAATATATTTTCAATGGTTTATGACTTGATATTTTGGATGAGATGGCACATCTTCACAAGTAGACCACTCCCTATAGCCTAAAGGTTTTTTTTTCTCCAAATTTATATCATAGTGGATTGATGATCTTCTCTAATCTATATATTAATTTATTGGCTATTCAACACAACATATTCATGGAAAAATTACAAGTATGAGTTGCAAACCAAAAAACAATGGCTTTTAAGTGAAAAAAGGAAGGAAATGTAAACCTGGTAATGAAGCATATCACATTCAGTTCAATAGAAAGTAGAATTTAAAGTTATTTAAAGTAATGCAAAATAATTGAAAATAAGAAAATATTTCTAGAGTTTTTTTTGGTAACCTTGTTCTCAAGTGTTTCTTTATTAGTAAATTTTTTTATATAAAATATGGTTTACTCATATTGGTTTTTTGCTAAACCATTAGTCTGACATTAACCGATATTCTGAAATCAGTTTTGAATCGGTTTTGTTGAAAATGGTTTTCAATTGGAAACAACCTATCTAGGATAGATTTAAATTGATTAAATATCAGTGAATAGTTGAATATGAGGACTGACCCAAGACCGTCGGTCCATATCAAAACCATTTATTGGTCTTAAGTTGGTTCGAATTAGGTCTTATTTTTCAAAATCCATGTAAATCGATTTTTTCCCACATTTTGTAGCATTGAATGTTATTTTTATTAAAAGTATTATATCAAGAACTGCATATCTATTATTTTAATAATAAAATAATAGTTTTATTATTATTGTTTTAATTTACTAAAATACACCAATATAATTTTATTTAGAGCAAATTACATGTTTGGTTATATTTATAAAATAATATGATTTTAAATTTATTATCATCGAAAATAATTTAGACTAATTTTTATTAACATTTTAATCTCCAATATTAAATATTAAAAATTCATCATGATCATATGATATTTTTATCTTTTTTTTTTTTAACTAGAAATGTAATTGTTTTATCATTATATATATATATATATATATATATATATATATATATATATATATATATATATATATATATATATATATATATATATATATATATATAAAACGACAAGAGGCATATTTATATTTTCCACTTTGTTTGTAGCATATTATGTCTACAAAAACAAACATTATTGGTGTTATTATGTGTTAAAAAACACATTGTCATAATATCTCATAACTATTTTCTCCAACCATGACGAGAATGCAATCGAACTACTTTTTTTTAGTAACTTAATAAAAATAGATGATAAATTAGTTAATTTTCCTAAAATATTGTTTGTTTGTGACATTTTTATCAATAAATTAGATTCATGGAAACCATGGTTAGTATTTAAAAAATTATTATATTTAAAAAAATGCAAAGTATTTTCAATTGTAAGTAATCCTGAATTAATATGATTTTTAAAAAATAGATACGGTATATTTTGAAAATGTTATTAGAATATGATTTTTTATTTTCAAAATGAAAGTTGATTTGTTAAAATAATAATAATAATAATATAAATCATAGGAATATGACACATGTAAATGATAAATGCTAGAAAATGACATGATATCTTCAGGTTTCATTGGTTAGGACTTAGGATAGATAGAGAAGTCATTGTTGGTATTATTTAATGTTATTCGCTAGGTACATTTTAATTTTATAAATATTACATATGTTAAAAAATTACATAGTAGATTATGGGCTTTATAAAATATTTCACAAAGATAAAAATAAATTCAATTAAGTTTAAATATTTCATTCCGTAGCCCACCGGCTACCATTTGGGGGGGAATTATATTGTCAATTGTATGGGTCAAAAGATTTTGTAAATTCCAATAGGATCAAGTTCCCCGCTGATTTGCAACGTCACACCAATACAATTTTACCATCAGTTAAAACAAGTCTCAATAATATTAGTGAAGTCTCATGTTGAAGCGCCTACATTGGAATAACCTTTACCTCATTTTACTAATAACATACACAATGCAGATTTAAAATTATAAAATCCAACGCCTCTCATGATATTTATGATTACATTTCTGTATAAAAAAATGAGAATCGAAAGTTTATTATGATCTATCAAAGTGCGGTACAATCAATTTGAAAATAAGTATTCATATAATGAAAGAAATCTAATCTTACCTGTACACTGATACACATATAGAAGTCGTAAAGCAAAGCAACCGATTCATTATGCAAGTGTTGCTCTTTTCCCTTTGGCATCTCTCGACTGCATAAAACAAAGGTATACTAATCAACTCATTCACATGCATAAAGCATAATATATCCAACTAACAAGATTTGTGTAGTAAGAGAAAGACCTGTGCAGAAGCAGATCGTTTAGCATCCAAGAATTGGCCATAAATGTTGTATAATCTGTGTTTTTCTGCTTCTGAAACTGAAGGTCGTGCATTGGAGGCAATCGAGTTCAAGAGTGCATTGGTGATCACCGGTTTATTTCCAGGCTTGTGAGCGTCTTCACTCTTGAGAAGATCATGAACAGCTGCCAGCTGTGCATCTGATAACAGAGCTTGGAGATCTGCTCCACTAAATCCTTCTGTTTTTCGAGCTATGCCTTCCAACTTCACATCATTTGCCATCGGTAACTGATATCCAAAAACTCACGTTTCAGATAATGAATCCTTTTGGCCCAATTTGAATTTGTTACACACCGGACAAAATAGGTTGTACTGTGTTTGGTGTGCATTAAGTCAAGGAAACTAAACAACCTTTTTGGATGGGACAAAAATATGCAAATTTTGTCCCATTATCAGTCCCGGTCCCACCTTTTTGAGTGGGACAAAAAATTGAAAATTTTGTCTCAATCCCAATCCAATGCATGTCAATGTCAAACCTGTTATGTCATTATAGGTGATTGTTACCTTTTTAGAAAGAACTTTAAGAATATCCAATCTCTCTTGTGGTGATGGGAAATCACAGAAAAGCAGACGATCTAATCTTCCGGGTCGCAGCAGGGCAGCATCCAGTAGATCAGGTCTACTGTAAATCCAAAAAATTTCATTTTATTTAAACTATTTATTAATAACTTAAGACTTAAGTCCATCTTTTATTTTAAAAAATGTACTTATTATGGGTGAAAAATAAAATATATTGCCTATGTTGGTAAAGTATGTTGATATTTCCTGCATTTGTCATGTCTAAGAATTACTGACCTGGTGGCAGCAAATACAAAAACTCCAGTCAGCACCTCAACGCCATCTAACTCTGTTAGAAACTGGCAAGTTTTGATTACAATAGTGGTCAGAAGGTAGCAGAATTTTTGTACAAAGAGTATATATAAATAATAATAAACTAACTTGATTAACAACTCGATCGGTCACACCAGTGTTATCATGACCCCTTTTTGGAGCAATGGAGTCAAATTCATCAAAAAAGAGGAGGCATGGTGCTGCAGCTGCTGCTTTTGAAAATATATCACGTACCTGCAATTAGATTAGGTGTGTGGATGATTTCAGTGATTTGATCTATGTCTCTGTAAAAAAAATGCATTATAATTTATAAAAACTGCAGTAGATTGTGACTTACAGCTTGCTCAGAAGCACCAATGTATTTATTCAACAGCTCGGGACCTTTGACAGAGATGAAGCGTAGTGAACATGCAGCAGCAGCAGCACCAACAATATGTGTTTTACCACAACCCGGGGGCCCATATAACAGAACATTAGACCTCAACCGTAAAGGAGCTTGTGAAAAGATCATTGGAAACTTTGAAGGTAATTCAATCATCTGACATTCCAAAATTAATATCAAATACTATTAAAAACCTATTCGCTTGGATAACTTCATGTTCTTCAATACTTATTGTGGCTAATAATGTTACAAGAAAAGAAGAGTCAGTATTATAATACCTCTTTGATAGAATTGCGAATTTCAATTAGACCACCAACATCCTGCCAGCCTCCATGCCCTTCTTCAGAAGCAGATTTAGTAATATCACGCATAGCAATAGGCAGAAACCCTTTCATTGCTTGTACAAAATCATCCTTAGTCAAATTAGGGTTTTTCTCGCTCCCAAAAGTCAACCCACGTGACACAAACCGACCAATTGCAGCATGAACTGACCTATCCACCAGGATTTCCTGCAAAAGTTGATCATATGCTTACCACTTTCACTTTCTCTTACAAACTTATTTAATAGTAATCATACATGCAGATGCAGGAGATATGGAAAAAGAACCAAATACCAGATCATACGCATCATATCCATCACATGAGGAAGCTATATCTAACAAAACATCATCAGAACAGGACAAAGAACGCTTTTGAATCTCATATTTAAGTAAAGCCCCACGTTCAGCAGCTGCAGGAGCAGCCAGTTGGACATGAAAGTCAAACCTGCCTGGAATCAAAAGTATTAAAAATCATGAACTCATAATACAAATGTAACAGAAGTATATACAAAAACTCACCAGAGGAACTTAAGGTTTGTGGAATACTGGTTAGGGTCTGAACACAAGCTATGAATGCAATGGGACCAATTCCACATGAATGCTTCCTCTTTACCTGGTAATTGTAATGCAGATATAAATTTATTAGTTAGCAACTTAGCGTTAGCAAGATCAGATAAGATAGATCTACCACAAAACATGCAATGCAACTATACCTCATATTCATCCAAGATGCCTATGAGAAATTCCATGAGCAAAGTAGAAGAAGGTGACGAGTGATTATCTTCTGAGGTATTAGGTGATGCTATAATGCTATCAAGATCATCAAGTACCACAAGGGAAGGAGCATGATCCAAGGCTTCAGATATGTAACTAGAAAGGGCTTGATGGATAGCTTGGGACTTACTCGAAGCAAGTTTAGAACAACCTACATACACTCTATGAAAAGTAACCCTCCATCAAAACAATTTGTCATAATAAAGCAATAGTAGCTAGAGAAGTCATGTGATACCCTACATGTGTGCCAAGACATCTTCATGTTCTTCAATAGTTTTTGCAACAGTTGTGGCTAATAATGTCTTCCCAGAACCCTGACATACAAGATATTTGCATACTTTAAGTAAATGCTACTATGGAAGGTGTAAGTATGAAGAACTCACTTAAAGTAAAATGTTATTTCTTTTTTATTTTTTATGGAAGGAGTAAGTATGGAGAACTCACTGGAGGTCCATAAATCAACACATGCCCAGGGAAAGGAAGATTGTAAGTACTTAAGAATATCCCAGAGGAAGGTGACAGTAACACCATTAACCCTGCAGAAAGGAAGCAAATGCATGTCAGACAATCACAGCTTCATTAAAGTTTAAAGCCAAATATGGGGAATTAATATATGAACAAGTATTCCCATAACTCTATATTTCTGTTTTCTTATTGCACCTATAATATGCATCACTCATGATTACCAAAAAAACAAGTTGGAATGCATATGTTTTAGAAGTGAGAAAATATAAAGCTAAAGTACCTACTATTAGTCACATCAGCAGCTGTTGTGCCCATCCAGCTTAAGGAAGAAATCTCCAAGGTAGAACGCTTGTCAGATATTCTTTCTTTGACTGTATGAAGAGGTAAACCATCACCCTTTTCCAATTTTTGAAGAAAGAAATCTAAGCTTTTCTTATTCATGGTCTTCTTGTTTCCTTCAGAAAACTCAATCTCATAAGCTACTCCACCTTGCATAGAATCCTCGGAAACCGATAGAACATACATGATATCAACTGATGGTTCCCCAGTTTTCTTTTTTACTTCAAAAGAACGATTATGTGATTCATATAGTTTTGCTAAATCATTGAGTTTCACCTGAAAGTGAAGCAACATCTTATTTCCCAAAACCATTGAATTTAGTTCGGTTTTGGAAAAAGACATAATGGCATCAAGTTGAGCCAAAATCCATGCATGCAGAAGAACCAATAACCCTTTATTACTTGTGGGGCTAACAGAAGTTCCTTCATCCTGATGACCTGATGTATCATCTGAAAGAGCTGCAATAACCTTCTCATGGGTTGACCAATCAGACAAGTCATATTGGGTATCTGGATTTGTCTTCAGAAACATTTTCTCTGTGGGATGATTCTTGTGTCCATGAAGATTTCCAAAACCATTACTTTCAGAGACCTTCTTTTTAAACATCTTAAATTGACAAGGAGAAATAACAAACGAAAGAGGATCTTTTTGTAGAACAATATTGCAACTTCTCACATGTACCCCTGGAAGCATTAAAAAACAATGTTAGATGGCTGCATCTAACTTTATGCAGAAAGATAAGAGAAAAGAAAAAGTCATCCTTTTTCTTTCAAAGAGTTAACTTACAAGAATGTAAGCCTGCTCTCAGATAAAATCGTAAGGATTGAGAAAGCATGACATGTCCTTTAGCCACTGAATCTGATATTAGAAGACGAACAACAGCCTGTCTGGCATCCAGCTTGTCAGTTGGAATCACATTGTCAACTTCCTTTGCAGTTGAATTTACTTTCTTCTCCTTCTTAACTAACCTTTGCTCTAAAACTATAGTTTGAAGAGAATCTAGGGAAGAAACTTTAGCTGTTTCTGGATGAATAAAGACAGCAGAAGTAAGAACCACCCCCATCTCAGTATCCTTCACCCGAAGTTTATGAAAAAATCTACTGTCTCCATCTTGGATACGCAGTAATGCCTTTACAACTGAGTTTTCAGATTTTCTGCGTCTCTTTGGAGCAACACATACTTCAGTCCCTGGCACAAGTTGCACTGAACAACATATATTTTATAAGTTACAAACATATAACATATTTTAAAGTTGTATGCATATGATAGAATAAGAACCAAGCATTTAAATCAGCAGCATATACAGGAATATTTATCAAGAATGAAAACATAAGATATCAGCTCACCCATTGGTTCCTGTGGATCAGTTGAGACTACAGAAAATGTAATGGTTGTGTGCCCATGCAACCACAAAGGAAATCTCATGCCTTCATGGACTATTCCAGCCTAAATTCAGTATGTAAACAAATAAAACATGTTATTCTCCACCTATTATAAAAGTGACATATGGACCAACAAAATATGATTACCACATATGAAACGCTAATTGAAGCGTCTGGAATTCTTTTGAGTAGCTATACTATAAGATCACTAAAACTAAAGAAGCTAAATCATAAAAAAGCATAGCCCTTCTAGCAACAGATGGGCTCAATGCTATTAATATGTAATATATATTACTAATCACATAAACACTTTATATTGAAGTATTAGATTTAGTAGATATATTATTTCCATGATAAATAACTCTATAAATAAGGATTAGTAGAGGTTATTTTTAGGCTTGGTTGGATTGTTGAGCTAAAGTTTGAATAAGGATAAATATACAATCTATCGAGTAAGCACCTGCTTCAAGATGGCTGCCTCTGCATGCTCTGCATTTAGCTCTAGAACTTCCCAATCATCCTCAGTATCAGGTTCAATAGTCACACTTTTGGCTTTGGGAAGACTAGGAATTGCTCTCACTCGAACAGTTGTATGATCTGGTAGATGAAGGCATTCTGCAAATTGCTGAGCAATCTACGTAGGTACACAAAATAAAGTGTCAACAATAGAGATAAATTTGAAACAGATTAAGTAAACATCAACGCTAACGTATGTCATAGTAAGTAAATCTTTAATTAGTATGGTTTAAAGAAAATATTGCTGCTTTTTTTTTTGTGGGGCATAAAGATTATCAGGTTTGCATTTAGGCGAAGAAAAACAGTATGAAGTTAGACAAACTTAGGTATTTGAGTATAAGACTGCGCACGCGAATTTGGGAAATCCTACTCCATGGGAGCGCACAATTCGAGGTTAGTTGAACTAATTTTGATCCAATTCCAATTTACAACCTTGAATTTTATCTTCCAAACAATATCATACGGTTCTGATGATCCTTTATATGCATTCGAATTCAGAATCACTTACATAAAGTGCTAAAGTTGTGAACTTAAACCTACAACTTGATTCTGAAAAGCATACACAGCGATTATAACCAAACTAAATTGACATACGAGAGTGGAATAGAGGAATACCTCGATGGCAGAAGAGCTAGAGGATGCCGAACCCGACCAAGCTACGTACCAGACATCATTATTGTTTGCGATTGAACGAAGCTCGAGAGCTAGAAATGAAAACAGAGAACCAGAAGAAGAAGTTGATTGAAGAGTTTGAATCAGATGAAGTGGTAGTGAAACGTAACATCCTTCCAGTCCTGCAACTGCTCTTACCTCCATCTCCATTTCGGAATGCAAAGAGAAGAAGCTTGAGTAGTTTGACAGTTTGACGAGAGGGTGATCCAATGGCACTGATAGCATTGATTACCCCGAGGTGTCCTGTCTATCTACTATTTAGGGTGTTTGGCACTTTTTATTTAGGGTGTTTATTTTTATTTTTTATTTTTACAATAAAGTTTAAATTACCGATAATTTTTGATATTTTTATCTTTTTTCCGTTAGCTGATAATTAAAATTTTTTGTCAAATCGTCAATTATGATTTTACTGTCAAAAAAATAAAATTTAGAATTTTCTTATCAAATCATTGAAAATATTGAAACTTTAGTATATATATATATATATATATATATATATATATATATATATATATATATATATATATATATATATATATATATATATATTTACTATATTATTAAGCATATTGGATATTTCTTGAAATTTAAGAGGTACAATTTCTATTAAACGATGTACAATCCTATTATGCTTGTAAATAAATCTACATAATTATGGATGTTTTACGGATGTAACCCCCAAATAGAATTAAAAATGCTCTCTAAACTCACATTTCAAAACACCCCCAATTTACGGCACAAATATTTCATACCCTCTGCAAAACCCTAGGTCATTTGCATTTATGCAGAATCTGACCGCTTCTCCCTCACCACCGTCATCAGTCTCACTGTCATTGAACACCACTGTAGCCGCCATCTATCGTCGTCTTCCTCTCTGCTAACCCTAAGCTGCCACAACCATGACCTTTCTTAACAAATGCAGCCATTTGAAGCAAACGTTCACACGCCTATAAAACTTGTATTGTGGCTTTATTTAGATTCGCTATCAACGGTTTTCGGTCTTCATCTCCGGTCACCACTTGCAACCGCTTCATTCTTTTCTTCCATGCATGTTTCTTCCTTTATTTCGTCATCCATTTTGTTATTTAAACCATTTTTCGTGTCAATTTTGCCCTAAAATTTTCGATTGCAGGTACGTTTCACCACCAAATCCATTTACCATGATACTTACAGTCATGTTCTGCAATTTATTGATCCCCAGGCACGACAATCTACCCTGGAAATGATTCTCTCTCCAATGCAACTATATCATTCAAAAACACCGCCTGGCCATTGTTGTTGATCGAAGAAGGTTATTATTTTTGTCTACATAAACTAATTCATATTTATTTTGATTAAAACATCTAAATTCAAGGTTTTTTATTTTTGATTCTTTAGTTTTTGAAACTAAAAAGGCTACAGGTTACTTCAAGCAAGAACATGAATAGATGATTATGTAAGTTCTTATATCAACTTGTTTGAAATATGTTTTTAATGATTTAGTAATGTTTATTCTTCATGCTACAAATGGATTTTTTTATTAATATTGGTTATTCTTACATCAGGTTTGGAACCCATTGGCTAATGGAGTGGAAATGAAAGAAATCCTTTTTTTGGATTACCACCCATTGTGTAACATGATATTAATGACACAACGACATTCTTCCATACTTTATTCTGCTTGGCAACTTGCATAATCAATGCGTCATACTTTTTAGTATATTCTTCCACTTGATTATGATCTGGGTATGATGTGATAGGGTTGAATATAGGTTAACAGTTTGATATCTTGCAAAGGGCTGCTGAAGTTGGCTGTTTGATAGTAGGATAATGGTAAGTACGCATTGATAAGAGCTTTTAAAGTTGTAAACCATTTATGCTTCAGATGCTTTCTATATGCATTGATACTTGTGATAGTTTCTATGTGTCGTAAATTATGTTTAAATGAATATGATGTTTTCTTAATCTTAAATATTTATAGGTTTTGTTGTCTGGTAGCATAAAGAGAAATATTTTTATTAGGGATGGAGATCACATTCAACAGTTATGTGAGAACAAAAAGAGATCCCGTGTATTTAACCTGATATGGGGTTTTGTATAGAATACATGTTAATCTTTAATTGAATGTGACTAGACAAGCATCCATTTTGACAATAAGGTATTGTCCGTCTACATAATAAGCATATAAGTTGATCAAGCGAAATTAAGTTGAGATGACATAATGAATGTGAGATAAGATTAGTGGCTTACTTAACATGAAGCATGAATATATTAATCAAATAAATTTATTGTTAGATTTGCAAGTTTCATTTTTATGTTTGATTATTATTTTAGATTTTCTGCTAAGATGGATACATGCTTCAACTTTTCTTCTATATTTTATGGTAATGTCTATACACGGTTCCATATATCAACCTTTCTTTTTAATCTTTTTTTTTATTTATCGAATGAGATCTAATGTTTTTATCCTTTATTTTCCTTTTTAATATTATTGGTTTTATTGATATCAGGTTCGTTTCAATGGATAGAGAATATTTGGAGGTATTACTTAGGATTAATAATTAAAGGTAGATCTTAGATTCTGCTTTCTAGATAGTTCGAACAAATAAACTGGGTCACACGAGTCTATATGTGGCTCTCTTTTTCTCAGTCTTACAGTTTATTTCTTTTCTTCCGCACTTTTTCATTTATTTTATGAGGTTATATGTATTTCCCTGGATATTTCAGTGTATTTGCATTCTTTTAATCTTTTCAGTTTTATATTATCAAAGTGCCGATGATCTTTAAAGGAAGCATTTTCCAACATTGGGGATGTCATTTAAGGTAAAAATAGCCTGTAAATTGTGTGTATTTGTGTATATTTTTGTGATTTTGTGTGTATTTAGTGTATCTGTGGGCCTGAATGTCTATGTGTGGGTATCTTCTGTTCTACTCTTATTAACAAACTAAAAATGTTTCTTTTTTGTTTCTTAAAATTATAGGGAAGATTCTCATCCAACACAACCTACTGTCTCATTAGCTTTGTATGATTCTGAATTTTACAGATCTCATCTACTAGAGATGCATAACAGATTGTTATCATCTATTACCTTTATAAAGCATACATAAATGTAGGACCCTAAAAAAATGAAGAGAGTTGTCTTTAACTGAAGGAAATGAAATCTATGCCCTTAAATATTTTTTGGGCCTGAAGCATGCAAGAAATTGCCATCTCTATGTTTCAGAAGAAAGATACAAACTAAAATGATATATATGATTGGAATCGATTGTTATGGTTTGTGCTTCTATTTGTTTTCAAGCTTAATTAGTAACATCTTTGTTGTATGTAACATATTTTTCTATGTTTTTGTTCAGGATGGTTGATATATTGGGTGTGAATATCCTTCTCTATGGCACTTATATGATCTTTATTGAGTGCACAGTGAAGTATTTAAAGATTGGCTGGCAAGTGGTTTTTGAGAGTATTCTGAGTGCAACGAGTGGCAAATCATAAAAAACTAATTAGCCAATATATTTCATCCAAAAATCGGATAAATTGCAACTGCAAATCCTACAATAGTAATTTTGAGCACAACAGCTCACTTCTTTATTTTAAATCAGCCCAAAGTGTTGAGATTTGAGCCAATTATGACAGCCAAAACTGAGTTGTTAAGCAAGTTTCTTGGAATGACCATGTTTCTATTACATTTATGAAGATAAGAGAGGTAAAAGCTTTAGCTATCTTTTCAAGTTTTTATGAACCACCAATGCTTTAACGAAAGTTTGTTTCTTGATCAGGTTCGTAATCTTGAAGGAAGTACTACATATTCTTCAAATCTTAAAAGCACAAACCGCCCAAAGATAATTTTTAGTGTTTTAAATACTTTTAGTTTAAAGTTCTTTTTAGTTAGGGATTGGAGTTCTTTGTTCTTAACAGTGGATGTACCTTTCCTAGATTCATGTTGGTGTTCATTTATGTTTTTTATTCATATTTGGCAGTTCCAAAAAGAAAAAAGTTGTAAATATAATTTAAGAAGCAATTTTGTTGTGCTCTTATTTTATATCTCTTGGAGAAGATAAGAGAGATTGAAAGTTCTAAGAAGCAAAGTACTTGGGGGTTTTTGCTAACTATTTTACCAAATATCAAATTGTTTCTTTTAAAAGGCATAGACATAGTATTGGTTGTTACCACTTTCATATTCCAATAGTTTCATCTAAAGAGCATTTAGTTTTTTATTTTTTATGTTTTTCCACATACGAATATGAAGGACACAACTGAGAGACATACTTTCATATTTCATGACAAAGTAACCAATAACAACATTGTAATTTTTTTTTCAAAAATTAACCGGTTATAACTTTCACTTTCAATTTTCTTTGAAAAATAACCAATAATAACATTGCACTATCTTTAAAAAAAAACTAATCGGCTATAGCATTGGATTTTTAATTTTATTGAAAAAACTACCCAGTAATCGCATTGCATTACTTTTAAAAAACTAACGTGTTATAGCATATCACTTTCACTTTTTTCTCATAAACTAACCAATAATAACATTGCATTTCCATTCATTTGAAAAACTAATTGGTTGTAGTTTTGCACTTTCAACTATCTTAAAAAACTAACAATAATGGCATTACACTTTTATTTTTTTTAAAAACTTGTCGGTTATAACTTTGCACACTCAATTTTCTTGAAAAACTAGCAAATAATAGCATTGCACTTCTATTATTTTTTTAAACTAACTAGCTATACCATTGTGATTTTTTTTTGAAAGACTCAAATTATATCATATTGCACTTTCAAGTTATTTATTTATTATTATCTTCATAAAAACTAACCATATATAACATTGACGTTGGATATTTTTTAAGAACTAATCGGTTATAACATTGTATTTTTTTTAAACTAACAAATAATAGTGTTGCACTTTTTTGTTGAAAAACTAACCAGTTTTAGAATTGCACATTCAATATTCTTGAGAAACTACCCAATAAGAGCATTGCACTTTCATTTTATTAAATTAACCATGGTCAAACTTCAAAGTTATATATTACTTCAAAGGCACGTAATTCAATTGGCTTAGCTCATCAAAGTTCGTTGGCTAATTTAGAAGTCTTGATGCATTGCCATGTTATTATTGGATTAGTTGTCTTCTTTCTGTTGTAATTAGATGTTTGTTTAGATGTGTCTTGGCGCAAATTATATTAATAAGAATTTTGTTTTATTTAGTGAATAGAAACTGTTTTCTGTCACGAATCTATTAATCAAAATAGAATTATTTGCCGCTTAGAAGTTGTTCGTCGCCGCTGTATCGCGCGGGTATCCTACTAGTATATATATATATATATATATATATATATATATATATATATATATATATATATATATATATCCATTTTTTGGTTAGAAATTTAATGGTATGATGCTCTTTAAACATAAGAGTTATTGAAACCTTCTCTAGTCAGGTAGATCCTATTGAAATCCTGAACGTCTGTTTCTTGTTAAATTATTTTTTTAATCTCAACAAACTGACAATAAAAAAAATGAGATAATCAAGAAAGAAAGAAATAAAAAACTAGGGTTGTGTTGGCTTTTTGCAGTCCTAAAAATGGAGAAATAAGAAACCGAAAAAAAAAAATAATGAAATTGCCCTTCTTTCTCTTCTCCACACTCACACCTTTTTGACTAAGCATGTGTTGTTTATGTTTGTATAGTCTGTCACCACTTTTTAGTTCAAGATTTGGCGGCGAAGCATGAAAAAAGTTTTACAAGTCTTTTCACCTTTCCCACTCTCTCTTTTGCATATGTTTCTCCTGATCGTGATTGTGTCCGGGCAAAGATGATGATGATAAGAAAAACAGTGGTGCTGCAACAAAAGTCACAATTAAAAGTTA